CCTAGTCTTGCCTTGTCTGTTTTCTCGGTTTCTGATCTTTGCCTGTTTTCCTGGATTTATCCCTTTAGTCTCGCCCTTTGGATTCTGTTTGCCGTTTGTTGACCTTCGCTAGCCCTAGGTTTATTCTTGTGTCTTGTCCGCCATATACCTGTTTGCCATTGTTCGACCCTGCCTGTGTTTCTGACCTCTCTGCTTTAAATAAAGCTTGCACATGGATCCGCACGTCTCACGTCTCGTCAGCCCCGTAACAACCTGAAATTAACATAAATAATTGCAATCAGAACAAACATATGTGATGTACCTGGAAAAAATAAAATCAGCATTTTTTACTTTCCTGATTGTTGATAGTGTTGCTGTTGCTGTAGGGAAGTTTTATGTATTTATAGACTAAGTGCCTTTAGTGCCGTTAGTAATGGACCATACTCTCTTATTCTCTCTCACTCACTCACTCTCAAATAATTTTTTCAATATTCACTTCCAACTTCCTTTTCTGATTTTCCATTTTTCAAGTTGATGTGATTTGTGATTCAATTGATGTGATTCAGTTGATGTGATTCAAGTTGATGTGTCTTAAATTATGAAATTGTTGTTAAATTTTCATGTTGTTGCCAAAAACAACTACAAGTAGTACTCACACACTGTGTACTGTGTGCACAGTGCGCACATAGAGAGCCGTGTCTTAAACAACATGCAAACACCGAATGGAGTTCTCTTTCGTGTGTTCATGCGCTTAAACGGAAAAATACACCTTGCCTATTTGAACATTCAAGAGATTTTAAAGCATTCAAGCGCAAGAAGATGCAAATAGCAAATCCATTCTGTGTGTTCTGTGAGCACAGCACGCACACAGACAGCCCGAGCCTCGTATTGCATTTCTTTCCACATCTTCTTGCACTTGAACGGACAAATACAAAAGTATGACAAAACACCCGTCTTGGAGAGTATCCTCAAAAACAGTCGTTTATGTCTTAAGTGAACTTAAACTGCTGAGAAAGATTTCTGATGTGTATCATTATATTTGATCCATGCATTGTCTCTTAAAGTGACTGCGCCTAATTTACAAGCTGCTGTCTGTGTCCTTAATGTTAATCCAAAAAAAGAGAGAAAATTGCTCAGTCCTCTTGACTAAATAACTTTTGTAGCTTTAGCAATGATTAATCTATATTTATTTTATACAGTATAGAATGCAATGTTATTTTACATTTGTACATTTACTGTACCTGAACACATACAAACCTATTCTTTGTTCTGTTTATTTATTATGTGCTAGTTTGTTCATTTGTTATTTACCGTCTGTTCACTTGTCTTTAATAATGTTTGAACTTTATATTTGTTAGGCTAGTAGTTTTTGCTGTGGAATTGGAATTGAGAATTGTAAAATGTAATTGATTTTAACTTAAATTTAATCATATATGCTCATTTATTAGAATACAAGATAACATGGGTCAAAAACAATGATAACAACTATTTTATTTTTTGTGAAAATGTTGGCAGGGCAAGTAAAAATTTGAACCACAGGCCCGACTGGGCCAGTAAAAAATCCCTTAGTGTTGAGCCCTGCTTATGCTAAGAAAAAAGGAAAGGAACAAGAAACGATGATCCAATGTTTGTCTTTTCAACAAACCAATCTTAGTAAGACACATTATTTTTATAAGGACTTATAAAAATACTTATAAAATCACTTTTATAATGACTTTTCTTCTGCAACAAGCTACTGTTCTGAGTTGGGAGTCTGGCAAGAAGCTGTCCTCAACAACTGAACCAGTTTCACAAGTCTAGAAGGAAAAATGGCTGCCATTCTTTCACTCTTTAGTTTAGTCACAGTGGGAAGGAAACAACGAGAACTAGCACATTTGGCTAAAATAATGCAAATTAAACATTCTCTTACTTTGTACTATTTATATGGGATCTAATTAATCATTGACTTGGAATATGCTGGTTTTGTATCCTCAGACAAGCCTAAACTGCTAAAGATTAAAATGTGTTCTTCTCTCTACAACTGATTACATTGTCTATTTAGTGTACATTAGGCCATGTAATATTCAGTTCATATTTGTACATGTCCGTCTTCAACTTCTATACAAAACCCTGCATTTCTGCTTTACCTGTTGCCTTTGTTGTAGTGGGGTGATCTGGCACTGGCCTACCTGTGACCCCTGTTGTGTTCTGTGTGGCTGCAATTATTCTGCATTGTAGTTCAGCTCTGAGGGCCTATATTATCCTAACCTCTGAATAATCCTAAAGCCTCTTTTCTGGATTCGCTGATGGAGCACAGGTGGTATTTTATTCCTTGCATGCTTGTTTCTACAAGTCTTTGAGCCCTTTTATTGTGACTTATGTTTCACGGGACTCGTACCTAAACACTACACATAGCAAGTACACCACTTTACCAGGTAAGCTACTGAGCTACTCAGCTCAAACAAATTGAGCTGGTTATGTGTTGCAAACATCAAAATGTATTAGTTTATAAATCATGCAGTATTTTTTTCAGTCATAACCAGGGATGTAACGATTCACTGCGAGCCGGTTGAAAATCGATACAAGTATGTGACTATTCAAATCGGTTGAGATGTTAAACGAATTGCGATACATTTGGGGGTGGGAGTTTATATGAATGTATTAGTTGAGAAAAAATTGTGAGAAAATTGAATTGTGAAATCAGTGAATCGAATCGTGAGTTGAGTGAATCGTTACATCCCTAGTCATAGCATTGTATTTTGCAAGGAACCTTGCAAAAACAAGTCTTTATTAATCAACAATCTGCCCCTGCAATCATAATTTGCTTGACATAGAATAAAAGTTGTTGGTGTTTTACTGCCACTAGTGTTCATTTCAGTATTCAAGTGTTTTCATTTTATTTGTGCTTTTAATAAAGATTTTGGTTAGACAACTTGTGATTAAGCTTTCGTTTTTTTTAAACTCTGCATATTCATATATAAATGTGTGTGATCATGTAGTATGTGATAGCATACTACGTGACCTCAGCAGGTGCTGCATTCACACAGCACCTCTCAATAATTAGCTCTGACCTGTTCTCAAGGCTGCCTGAAACAGTATGAACAGCTTGATTACAGCATTTTATCTGTCCCAGCATGCAGCATGACCTCTTAGTATTATACAGTATATGTCATACAATATGGTGCGGAGGGTGATTTATCACCTATATGAACTACTTTTAATTTTGAATTGACTTGGGTTTATATTTGTCCTAGCTATTTAGGCATAAAACAGGGAAATTGTTTCATAACACACTTTAGTGTACATACTTTTGCTTTAGCATACTTCTATATTTCATATATTTGTTGATCAGATTTTCACTATGCTTTTCACTATAGTAGGTTTACTGCATGTGGACAGAGCAGTTGCTTATTTCATGTTAAAAGATAGTTCACCTAAAAAATTAAAATTGTGTCATAATTTACTCACCCTCAAGTTGTTTCAAACCTGTGTGAGTTTCTTTCTTCTGCTGAACACAAAACAAAATATTTTGAAGAATGTGGGTGACCATACAGTTGCTGGTAGCCATTGTCATCGTATTTTCCCCCCATGCTATAGAAGTTAATGAGGACCAGCAACTGATTGGTTGCCGACATTCTTCAAAATATCTTCTTTTATGTTTAGCAGAATAAAAAATAATCTCATAAACTATCCCTTTGGTGAAGGGAGAACCACATTCTCAAAAAAGTATATATTAAGCATGTAAGATTAAGATTATGGTAAATCTTTATCCATATTTTTCACATCTGTCTGCCTTTACTTCACTATGGACCTTAGAGTGGGTGACATATGGACAAACACGAGGTCATCGGTGTGTAGTAGTAAACAGATATTGAGACAAACGTTCATTTTGAACTATGCTTCTCACAGCACATTCTCTGCACAGGTATTGAAATACCCCACTGCCACACATTTCTAGATGTGGCTTTTGAGTCGTGATGTAGTAGCGCCTTTGACTCAATCATCGCATGGTCAAAATTATAGATTGTCATTTCCGTTGCAGATTAGTCGTCATAGGAAAAAAAATTACATAACCTCGCCTCAATTTTCTATCACGTCATTTCCGTCTGAAGAGTAACTGTGAGGGAATACGCGAAACGCAAGAGCCTCACGGCTCTACCTCAGGTCTTTCTTTAAATCATTCATACCGACGAGAGGGAGAGAGAGGGTGGTTGTCACATGAGAAAAATTGTATTTTAGATCTCGAAACACACGACAGGGGCTACAGTCGCAACTTTTAGTAATCCATGTATCTTAAAGATACACATTTTTAGTTTGTAGTCGTCCTCACATGCATCGGCTGAGCCGCCCGAAATAATCGCGAGCCAATCATGAACCACACCCCGGTTGTAAAGCGGCAAAAGACTGTATTTCTTTTCCAGATTGTGGATATCTTTAAATATATTGTCAATTGGCATAAAACAGACGTTCCCTGTCGTTTAACGTGTATCAAACTAGACGGTTTTTTCAACGTCTTTCTTCACGCACCAGCGCGCAAGCCTTCCGCCAAGTTAACATTTGCTGTGTGTTTCACCATATAAAATAGTGTTTGGGCGCTTTCTTAAGGGTGAAGAGCACCTTGTGTTGCCCCCGGAGGTGCATCGGGTGGAGTGGGGTGGCACAAGCAGTTGCGAAGTATGATTCATCCCCGCGCTCTGTCACGCCCCATCTCCCCGTCTGCTTTCCATGGTGCACCTGTATCTGACCTCAAATCTAGCTCATTTCTATACACACACTGCTGTTAAAACCAAGCTATGCAAAGCTCATCTTTTACATGAACTCCTGCTTTCTGTGCAGTAGTAGAGGCCACTGCAAGCAGACGCTGTTATCCAGCAAAGGATACTTGAAGACTCACGCGTTCGTAAACTGCAAAATCACTACAATTTTAGGGATTCATTAATCACACGTTACGGGTAGTGAAAGGTCATGAAGCTGTGACTCAAAGGAAAGCGAAAGTGTCGAAAACGTCTGTGGATACACAAAGTAAATCGTCCAGTCCTTACTTTAGCATGGCTTGTTCCTTGTCCTCTTCCTCCTTTTGCCGAACCATCACTGCCATGATGACTTTCCTTTCCTCCTCCGTGAGATGACTCAAGTCCGGCATATCAGGCATGGGAGCCGGCACGGTGGGTGGGCGAGGGCCGCTTTGGGGCCCTACCGAGGCGGACATCTTTTGCCCCGCTCCCAGGCGTATCTATTGGCAGTATATGAGCGCTAGAGCCACACCTCACGACATGGTCCACGAATAGAGCAGCCTTCTTTGAGAATAGTGCAAATCTCGCATGGTTTCAGGCACCCACAACTGTGCTTTTGTTTCTCTTCGTGTTTTTTCTTTTTTTCCCCCCTTTTTTTTCAACCCACCCCTCCTCTTTTCTCGCTCCCCCCACCCCCCGCCTCTCCCCTCCACCTCCAGTTACGGGAAGCCCATCATCTCTACGCCCGGAGACGACGCAAACAGAGGGACTCCGGCATTAGCTAGCAGATCTGTGATTTCCCACTTCACTAAACCGGGGGCTCGGTATTGGGCGACGGCAAAGGAGGAGTTCGTCTCTCGCCCACTGATCTCTCTCTCTCTTTCGTCGCTCTCAGATTAAAAAAAAGAAGAGTCAATGGAAATGCAGTTCCGCGAGCGCGCTCACCAACCGCACGCTTACTCGTATGTGAAATAGGCAAAAAAGCATCTATATGAGAGTCACACTCCCCGTTCCTTTTTCATATCGGTGTGTGCTCGACAGCGCACACCTTGTTCGCTTTTCTGTATTTTTAGCAGTAGCTTATCTGGTAATAGTTCAGTGCGCGCTCTCGTCGGGCTATTTTTAGAATCGCTTCCGCGCACCTCTTAAATACAATCAATTCGTCTGTTTTGACTGACTGAGGGATGTCTGTAATAAAAAAATATCCGCGAAAGTCTCATGTGTGCTTGACATAAACCATCTCTAGACAATGTAAAAAAATGTAGACTACTGCCCACGTAGGAGGAGACGTTCTCGCAACCTTGCGCAACGTTCTCTAAAAGTTCTCTAAAGGTGACAAATGTCCCGAACCTTTACAGAACATTAGGGACGTTCCTAAAACGTCCTCTTTTGGTTATGAAAGTGCTGGTGCTCAATGTTCCTTATATGACTTTAGGGGGATGTTCCATTTTGGTTATTTTTTGGTCACATAAGAACGTTACAAAGATGACATTTGAGACGTTAACAGAACGTTCTCACATGGTCCTCTTTTAGTCATATAATAACGTTCCAGATATGACTTTAGGAGGACGTTCCATTTTGGTTATTTTTTGGTCACATAAGAACGTTACAAAGAGGGCATTTGAGACGTTAACAGAACGTTCTCACATGGTCCTCTTTTAGTCATATAATAACGTTCCAGATATGACTTTAGGAGGACGTTCCATTTTGGTTATTTTTTGGTCACATAAGAACGATACAAAGAGGACATTTGAGACGTTAACAGAACGTTCTCACATGGTGCTCTTTTAGTCATATAATAACCCAGATGGTCTGTATAACTGTAAAATTGAATGCATGGTCGAGTTGAAACCATTGTGAGAATAAAAAGAAAATCCAATAATAATCAACTTTATACGATTAGTTAATTCGTAGAATGGAGATGATTTACATAACGTAAGTACAAACTGTAGGCTAGTTGTTTTTCAGAACCCTGGACAGCGACACGTGCCGCAGAACACACAGACACCAATTTCACTACACTGTAAAAGGTGTTAAAGTGCAATTGTTACCATTAAAAAGCTTGATTTAACCCATAAAAACTAGTTTCTTGTCCCGGGTTTGGGGGAGATTACCCCATTAGTGAGGCATGGCCATTTTTCATGGTTTCCAATTTTATGCTATAACAAGTAATTAGCAAATGTTTCCATGTTTTTCTCTTAATAATGTATTGGCTGATGCATTATCATATTGTACATTCTAGACTCATATACTACAACTTAATCGTGAATGGGAACTATTCTTAAGGTGGCCATCTTCCTTCATCTTCCCCTAATTATCTAAGAGTCAGTAACCTTACTCTTATACTATATACAATGCCATTATGTTTCTGATCTTAGCATTGGGATAAATACTGAAAATATGCATACATGGGACATGGTTTACACAAATAGAGGATATGTATTTACGTAGGCATATACCTGTGTATACAATATGTTTATATGCACTTAAGGTTAGGCTATTTAGGATAACCTCCATGTCCAGGGTCATACAATAGCTTCCCACACAGTGTAAACATGTGCCATAATGTGTGTATATTTGTTTAGAAATCATCATCATTTTAAGATGCACCTTTGTTGGAGACCATATTAAACCATGCAGAGCATGGAGCCATGTGGTGCATGCAGAGCAATAGCTCCTCCAAAAATGAAAATTTTCTAATTGCTTACAAACTGTCATGTTGTTTCAAAATTGTAAGTTGTTGTTTTCAGAATTATGACTGTTATCTTTTTAGAGCTGATTTCTATGACTTCTATTTGCATCACTGAATCATTATTTTCCTGTTTGTCACCGTAAAGCTGCTTTAAAACAATCTGTATTGTACAAATCGCTATGTAAATAAAGATGACTTGACTTTTTTCCATGGAAAATGTATCATTTTCTTTTATAAAAAGAAGACAGTTACCACATCTGTCAAGCTCCAAAAGACTGCCGAAACTCTGGAATGTCCTTCAAATCCCTACTCAGCATGTCAATGCTTTGGGCCAGGTTTGACATCACTGAAGCCGCATGGCATTGATTTTCATATGGTGTAACTGCACATGACGCAGCAGTTTGAATATATAGAATGGAGAATGATATTTGAGAACTGCAATGAAAGAAAAAAGTTTTCCATGAATAAAGACATGAGAGCTCTCAGTCACAGAGAGCTATTATATAGTCTTTAAATATAGTGCACACAGGGTGGGAAATTAACTCTTGCCACCTGCCAAATTCAGGTAGGATATTTTTTATTTAGTATTAGTTATTTAATTATTATTACAATGGCAGATTTTTTTTTTCTCTGATTGACCTTTGGATTTGTATTAATATGTTCCTTGGGGTCATTTATAATGTTAATAATGTTTGCAAACACACACACGCACAAATATATGCAGAAAAATAATTTTCAACTCTCTGACTTACTTGTCAGTAAACGGCCACTATTATGATTGGCTAATGTCACCTTTGCCCTTAAGTAAACCTTTTCTAAACCAGCAATATAAAACCATAATTTATAGACAATGCATTATGAAATTGTTTACTTACGCTTTGCGATGCAGCTGTGGACAGATCCAATACCAACGGTTGCTTCATCTTTCAACAAAAGTTTCTTTGGAAAGTCTTCATTACACTGTGCTTCATTTTCTGCAGCCAAATGCTCCGAACAAACTTTCTGAAGTCTGTGTGCAAACATGCTGTTTAAACAGGACGAGTCAAAGCAAACGTTATTGTACTCTTTCATTTTTCCTGTTGATTAGAGTAGCTCAAGCGCATACTTTATCCAGTGTAGACAGCATCCACACTAAAGCCCTGTTCACACTACAAACCACATGCAACGACAAAGCGACACGATCCCATTCATTTCAATGGAGAGCTGGAGATTTCCAGCGACACGAGCGACAGCGACCGGATTTGCTTTTGACTGGATGCATCGCACGTTGCATGCAAGTCCACTGTGGGCGGGACTTATTATGGTGCGATAAAGTACAGTATGTCATGTCTTTCCCTGAGGCCTGTTGCAAGAAGCCGTTTAGCTTTTTACGAAAAGTTTGTGTTTAGTTGGAGCAAACTCTTGAGTTTTCGGGGTCAAGAATGTGGGTTGGATTTAAGAGGGTTTCGTCGCTATGGTCATGGCTACCATGCTCCGGAGTAGCGTTTTTTAGAGATCGCAAACCCAAACTGGACCAATCAGCTGTGAGCAAAGTGACATATATCTGATGCAAGCCACTCCCCTGAATCGCTTGCTTCAAATTAAAGCAGTTTACAGTGAAAGAATTTTACAGACAAAATTGCCCGTTTTTTGCTGCTAATTATTTACTATATTCATATAATATATTCAAATAATTATTATATGAACTGGCAATTAATATTAAACTTTGCATTTAAATTAAATATATACATATAAATAAGTTTTAAAGGGGTGGTTCAGTGTTTTTTTTTTCTAGGCTTGATTGTGTTTATGGGGTGCAGTCTAACATGTGTTAATGCTTAGTTTTTTTTAAAAATCTCTTCCTCTTCTCTAAAACAGCGCAGCATGGCCTCGCCCCCTTTGCTACCTTTTGCCGAGGGCGGGGTTTATATGGGTTTGTGATGTCACAAACCCGGGAAGTAACTTGTTGTAGTCCCTACCAGTCGTTTTTGTAGGCATTAAACTGCCAGAATTTTAAAATTCTGGCAATTCGTAAATTTGCAGATATTGTTTATGCTCAAACAGCAACATTTCACACTAACTAACGTTAAAAAAGTGAAATCGCAATGAACCACCCCTTTAATGTATAAACGTGTTTTGAGCTCTTTGTGAAACTATATAAATTATTAAATTGAGTTGATTAATTTGCATAGTCAGATATTTTCTTTCTGCTGCCTTCTCAAACATTTGCTGTTAATCACAAACTCTGTCTGGATCAAAGCCTGAGTTGACAGAGAACGTTTATATCAAGCATTGTGAGCCCACTGAACCTGGGGCCTGTACCATGATGGTAGTTGAACAAAGTCAGAGTTACAGGATTAGTTTCGAGTTGACAAAACCAAACCACTCCAATCCGGCTTTGTTGGTACTATGATGCTGATCATCAACTTTTTTTTGTCAACTCAGGCTTTGATCCTAAGTTTGTGGAGCGCGTGCACATGATGTGATGAAACATCACCCACATAGCAAACGATCTTGGCCTGAATGTGGCCTCAAGCTGCCACTGCCGGCCTCCTGTCGGCAATGGCATGTACCCTTTCAGCCAGAGCTGGGCCATGTGGGGCTATGATGGCACAGTGTGGATCACGGCAAACAATATGAGGGCCGACTGTTGGTGGGAGGAGTGTGGCCCAGATCAATCCAGTGATCATGTGGCCCAAATCAGGCTTGTGACCTGACAGCATATTGTGACGCATGGTCAACAAGATAAATATATTATTGCATGATAAAGGTTAAATGATCACAGAAATTTCAATGAAGTGTAGTAGCCTATTGTTTAAATTTAATCTTTGAAATGGCAAGTCAAAACAAAATGAAAAGTTATCATTTCAAAATTAAGCAAATTAGTAAATCAATAAACTGCATTAAACTGCACTTAATTATAAATTATTATTCTCAGTACAAATAATCTTAGAATCCTTACAGATAAAGTGAGAGAGATTATCTAACCATTATCATGAAATATATTATTTATCTCATTTACCATGGGGCACATAATTTTAATTCACAATTCAAAAATTGCTTTATTGGCATGACTGTAAATGATACAATATTGCCAAAGCTTAGTATACATGTACAAAAAGATTAAAAAATAATAATTCTAATATAATAACAATAATAATAATTAAATGAACATCACATTAATAGAATGGAATAGTATAACATCTTAGAAGTATTAAACTATAACAAATTAGAATGTGTGAACATTTGATATCACAGTCTTTAACTTACATAGATTACATACTATTAATATGCTGTCATCATGCACAAGCATTCAATAAAATGATCATAAAATTATTGTAATTTTATCCAAATCTTCGGTATCAATGTGATGCTTTGTGTTAGGAACAGATCCAAATTCAAATTCATGGATATTTCTCTCCTTCCTCTGTAGCTATAACAATTTCAAAATTTGCCGTTTCAAGAAGTTTTACAACATGTTTTACGGCAGTGATATCAAACGCTCATTGGTTCTCGCCGGGTTCGTCATAGATTGCGAATGTGTTTGAATGAGAAATGCGCGCCTTCAAAAAAAAAAAAAAAGAAAGAAATGCGCGCCTTCACGGATATTATCACCAAATATTAGATTCAATCTTTTTTATCAACTTGTTTTCTTTCATTTAAGACTGGTTTTGTGTTTCTATTTGCATCTCGTTAATCGTAGGCCTCATTTATCTGAGAGTAGGTAGGCTACCTCATTTTTTGAGTGGAAAAAAAGCACTTTTTTATGAATAATTTTCACAATATGAGATAAAAAATTATGAAAACTTTTCATTTTCATTTATCACACTTATGTGCTTTAATGTTTAATCAGGAAGTTTGCTTGGAAATGCTTTTATTTTGTAAAAAAAAAAAAAAATAAATAAAAAATGGCACAAAGTCACACTTGTGGTGTTCCCCAGCCATTGAAAGTGAATGGGGAAGAATGAAAGGAAACAATAGTTTTACTCACGCTACCACACACACACACACACGTATACAAACTATTGCGGATATTACATGCTTTCTATTTCATCCTACCCTAAACGGCATCCAATATCCATTCATCAATCTTACATTTGAAATCTCTGAATAAAAAATAAAACAAGGTAATTGCAACTTCTCACTATTCTAACTTTTAAAAAAAAGAATTGCGAGATAAACTCACAATTGCAAGAAAAAAAAGAATTGCAAGAAACTCGCAATTGCGAGAAAAAAGTCAGAATTGCAAGATATAAACTCTCAATTGCGAGAAGAAGCGAATTTGTGAGATACCCTATAAACTCGCAATTGCGAGAAAAAAAGAACTGCAAGGTAAAGTCGCAATTGCAAGAAAAAAGTCAGATTTGTGAGATAAAGTCTCAATTAGGCCTGCCTTGTTTTATTTTTTTATTCAGTGTGAGAAACAGGCTTCCATAGCTTTATGAGAACATGAAAGTTTCAAAACCTCAGAATATTTTTTCTAGAAGGGGTGATAAAAGAATATAGATGAAAGATTATTTTGAAGCAGTCAATGCAGGCTAAAGACAAGACAGTTTGAGTGTGTGTGTGTGAGAGAGAGAGAGAGAGATGGAGAGTTATAATGTCAGATTGACGAAATGATATTGGTTGCCGTTTAGGGTAGGATGAAATAGAGCATATAATGCTCGCAATAGTTTGTATACATGAATGTGTGTGTGTGTGTGTGTGGTAGCGTGAGTATGCATGCATACACACATGCACAGGTCCAAGGCCTTTATTTTTGTAAGCACACATGTACAAATGTGAGCATAATCAACATGCTCCTGAACACTAGTTGTTTCTCTTACTTTCATTCTTCCCCATTCATTTTCAATGGCTGTGGAACACCACAAGTGTGACTGTGCCATTTGTTTTACAAAATAAAAGCATTTCCAAGCAAACTTCCTGATTAAACATTAAAGTACAGAAGTGTAATAAACAGTGCAAGTTTTCATAATTTTTTATCTCATATTGTGAAAATTATTCATAAAAAATGCTATTTTTACTATTTTTGAAATCTAACACACAGTTTCTACAAAAATATGAAGCACAACATTTTTAACATTGGCAATTAGCAGTGTAGCACCAGTAGAATAAAAATAAATAATAAAACAAAAAACAAAACAAAAAAAGTAGTTATCTCGCGCCCTCTGTTGATGGGACACAGCATTACACAGGAATATACCCCGAGGCTAGTTGTCATAGCTAGTTTGTACTCCATTTAATATTTTTAAGGGTGCATTATATTTTTGTCCATTCATGTTAAATTTACAAATCCTGTAGCTGTGGTTGCCAGGACATTACTGTGAAAAAAACAATGACAATGTTATAATTATGAAATGGTATTTTGATGACTGTATATTGTAGTTTCTAATTCTGTCATTAATATCACATATAATTGGCTTGGTGGTGGGGGTATGGGTTAGCAAACCTTTTTGAATCCATTCCCCAGACTGATATCTAAGTCATTGAAGCAGCACTGGAGACAACTAAATTAACATAATGTTAATTAACATAACATAATTAACATTTAGACAAACTAAAAAAACATAATGTATGTTTAAGGTGACTTCAAGTCATCATTTAAAAAAAAAAAATCATTTTGGACAGTTTTTGACATGTATATACAAAGTAAAACAAACACAAACACTTTGCATTTTAAGTTGTGGACTTGACAAGTAACTCAAAAATGCATCTTTAAACTGCAATGAACTACCACAATGGCCAAGCTTCATATAAAAATTTTGACTTTTTCATATAAAAATAACAGAAATAATAGACACTGACATTTAACTGTAGACATGCAAAACAATATTAGATTCAGTGAAGTGCACGTCAGATTCAAAAAAAAATTGCCATACGGATTTTATTGCAATCTTCTGGATGTCGTGTTGCAATACCGTTGCGAAGAAGCATTTCTGTGTATGGTGGCCAGAAAGTGTCATCAGTACTCACATAAGGGTCATGAGGAGTTTCTAATGTTTTATTGGTCAATCTCTGCAATAAATAAATAAATGCGCATGATTAAATGTGTTAATAAATAAGGTTAGTAAAATAAGCACTTTGTATCCGGAGACAATTTATTTTCCACTCTATTTCCAATTTTATTCCACGTCAGAAGATTACAAACATAAAGTAACAATATAAAAAGAAATGCTTTATTGTGATGGGTATCTGAACATACCTCGATAATCTCACTCAGTGAAATCAGGTTAATCTCTGCATCATATGCAGCAGCCTGAAAAATCCAAATCCAATATTCATATGCAGCAATGACAATGTTATAATTATGAAATGGTATTTTGATGACTGTATATTGTAGTTTCTAATTCTGTCATTAATATCACATATAATTGGCTTGGTGGTGGGGGTATGGGTTAGCAAACCTTTTTGAATCCATTCCCCAGACTGATATCTAAGTCATTGAAGCAGCACTGGAGACAACTAAATTAACATAATGTTAATTAACATAACATAATTAACATTTAGACAAACTAAAAAAACATAATGTATGTTTAAGGTGACTTCAAGTCATCATTTAAAAAAAAAAAATCATTTTGGACAGTTTTTGACATGTATATACAAAGTAAAACAAACACAAACACTTTGCATTTTAAGTTGTGGACTTGACAAGTAACTCAAAAATGCATCTTTAAACTGCAATGAACTACCACAATGGCCAAGCTTCATATAAAAATTTTGACTTTTTCATATAAAAATAACAGAAATAATAGACACTGACATTTAACTGTAGACATGCAAAACAATATTAGATTCAGTGAAGTGCACGTCAGATTCAAAAAAAAATTGCCATACGGATTTTATTGCAATCTTCTGGATGTCGTGTTGCAATACCGTTGCGAAGAAGCATTTCTGTGTATGGTGGCCAGAAAGTGTCATCAGTACTCACATAAGGGTCATGAGGAGTTTCTAATGTTTTATTGGTCAATCTCTGCAATAAATAAATAAATGCGCATGATTAAATGTGTTAATAAATAAGGTTAGTAAAATAAGCACTTTGTATCCGGAGACAATTTATTTTCCACTCTATTTCCAATTTTATTCCACGTCAGAAGATTACAAACATAAAGTAACAATATAAAAAGAAATGCTTTATTGTGATGGGTATCTGAACATACCTCGATAATCTCACTCAGTGAAATCAGGTTAATCTCTGCATCATATGCAGCAGCCTGAAAAATCCAAATCCAATATTCATATGCAGCAACCTAAAAAAAATCTAAATCCAATATTCTCTGATCTAACTGAGAGGGTGAAGGTGGCACCTACTCTTTTTTTCTTTGTGCCGTTTCCTTGGGGATCAGGAAGTGGGAAGTGCTCAGCTAACATGTCGCTCAGCATTTCCATGAGACTGCTGTGATAGTCCTTTAGATTGTTAATTTTTCTCTTCATATCCTGCAAAATGCTGCAAAAAAATTAATAAATAATAATAATGTATATGTATATATATACAGATTTGGCTTAATAATGTACTACACACCACCTGTCAAAAGTTTGGAATAATTAAATTGTTAATGTTTTTGAAAGAATCCTCTTCTGCTTAACAAGGCTGCATTTATATCAACAAAAATACAGTAAAATTACATTATAAAATATTATTACAATTTAAAATAACTATGTCTTAATACATTTTAAAATATATTTATTGTCACGCATCTGGTGCTCAATTATTATAGGTGCAGTTATTAATAATTGTGCTTATTATAAATGTTGAAAATATGCACATTTTTCAGGATTATTTGATAAATAGAAAGTGCAAAAGAATAGCATTTATTTGAATTGGAAATCTTTTGTAACAGTTTTGATCAATTTAATGCATCCTTGCTGAATAAAAAATATTACTATTTTTGAAATCTAACCCACAGTTTCTGCAATAATATGAAGAAGCACAACATTTTATACATTGATAATAATAAGAAATGTTTCCTACATATTAGAATGATTTCTGAAGGATCATGTGACACTGAAGACTGGAGTAATGATGCTGAAAATTCAGCTTTGCATTACCGGAATAAATTACATTTTAAAATATATTACAATAGAAATAAATGCAATTTGAGCTTGCGTTCCATTCTAACATGATGTCACACACCAGGCTTGACATCATAAACACCACAAAGCAAGCGCCATTCATTATTACATACGTTGTAGCCAAATGAATGAACATTCCTAAAAATAATTTTCTTTCTGTATTTCACAAATAAAAATGTACAGGTTTGGAATGGCATGATGAGGAGTACATACATTATGAAAATTGTTCATTCTTGGGTAAATATCCCTTTAAGCAGATGTAAAAATGTGATTTTTAATGCCGGCATAAAACGAACAACCTGTGCTCTGATTTCTCGTTTTCACGCTGTAATCTGGTGATTTTCTCACACACTGCATTCAATGCTTCTTTCTTCTCTGCTTGCTGTGTCTGCTCCCTGAAAAACATTTTCAGAGTGATCACAGAGTTTTATATATGTTGTTTATATTAAACATGAATGATTTTTTGTGATATAAATCATGTCTTAAGAAAAAGTTAATTTAAACATAACACGGTCTTAAGAGTTATTATCGTTAACTAAAACCATGAAAAGAAAATTGTCTACTTGAAATAAAGCAAACGTTAACTGAAATTATATATATATATAACCATTATAAAGAATTCTTTCAGCTAGTTGCCAAGGCAACATTTCTAATTTCTGTATAAAGTTAACACTTAAAATACTAACAATAATAGTATATCAATTAAACTGAGAAAAAAAAAAAACTTTACATTGCACCTTTTCAAAATCTTTTTCTGGACATCCAGCTTTGCTTGTGAGCATGACGGGACCATTTTAAGTTGACTGTTGAGTCTCTGCAACTGTGAGGGAAAATTGCGTGAAAACCATAGACTGTATAAAAACATGGACGTAGTGTCTGTGACGTAACCCGTAGACTTCCGACAAGCGTTTTGAAGCCTACAGTAGGCGGAGCCAGCCGTCGCCATCTTGGCAGCGCGTCACCGCGCGTCACTCCCGGATAATTGAAAATGGGCAAAGAGGCGGGCGCTGGCTGCTGAAACCACGCCCACCTAGCTCGACGGTGGTGACAGCAGCGGCAATCCACCTGTCACTCAAGTGGCCACGCCCTTAATTATGCAGAACTTTAAGGCTTAATATAATTTAAACGGATGAGTTATAAAAAAATTCGCCCCCCTCAGTTGTCATGAAGGGCAAAATTAGCTATATAGACCAAAATCATTTTTTGAACCAGGCTGTAAACATGTTTTTTTCTGCTGTAAAGTTGGGCATTTTAACATGGGGAGTCTATGGGATTGACTCCCTTTTGCAGCCAGCCTCTAGCGGCCAGTTGACGAATTACAGTTTAAGTCACTTCCTTGTTGGCTTCACAAGAGAGAGCGGGAGGTTGCCGCTTGGTGAAAACTTGTAACTGCATTTACATTTTGATACAATCACTACCTATTGGGTGTTATTAAAGTGACAACTTACCTCTTTACCAACCGCTAATAAGACTTCAGGACTTGTTGTCAGCACTAGTAGGGGAAAAAAAAAAACTGTCTTCACATCAACTGTGCAATTAAAATATTTAATATTGAATACTGAATTAAAATATATATATATTTTTATCTTAACCCTTTAATCTAACTTGAAATAGTACATAAAACAATAGATAATAGCTTACATGTTGGTTCAATTTCTTGCCATTGCTCTAGCTCAGATGTGATTGCAATCAGGCAATTCACTGCCTGCCTGTCGAAAAAAAAAAAAAGTTTGAAATTTGAGTAATTTGGGTACAAACAAAAAGATAATTTGAGTAATTTGGGAATATTTGTTTCAACTGAAGTTTCATTAATATGCACTGAGCTGATTTAACTCAAAAGTAGTGAAAGAAGAAGGACAAACCTCATTGGACTGATCATCATTAGCCTCTGTGTCTGCCAGAATTATTTCATTTTGAAGCTGAAAGATATAGTAAGTGCTTACTGTATGTTGACATGGCAGTTGCATACCAGCTGCATTCTGTCCGCAGCTGCTGTCTATAAACCTTCACAACATCAAAAAACTAACTGGGTATTAAAAACACTGGCACAAACATGTAAAAAAAATAATGTTTATATAAACATTTTGCTAATGTTCCCATTAAGTTAAAATGTAAGCCTGCTTTCTGAATGTTCTCTGAACTTTCAAAAAGTCAATTTTTTTTTCTTGGTAATAATAATGTTAAGGGAACATTTCATTTGTATCATTTTTGGGAATATTATGAGAAGGTTACTTTTGAATGTGCATTGAACATTCTGAAACCAGTAATAACATTTAAAATTAAAATGTTAAAATTAAAAGGTTTTAGAAGAAAAAAACACTTGATGAAAGATATATGAATAACGTTTTTGTGCTAACATTTTGAGAACATTATTAAAGAGCAGTTAACTTTGAAGTAACGTTCTAATTAACATTTCGTTTTGTTCACGAGAGAACCTTGCAGAATGTTAGCCAGGGTTCTGAGAACAGTCCCTGTTAGCTGGGTTTTTATAACAAATTATTTGTATGCTTCATCTAAACTGACAACTGAGCACTTGTCTGAAAACAAGCCCATGGCAAGTGACCTTCTGTAGCAGTCCAAACTGCTCCTCACACTCCTCTAACAACACTCCTTTTGCAGCAACCTCTGAAGACTGAGAGGACTGTATGTCCTGCTCCATTTCTGTCTGCTTTGAGAGTGCTGGAGTCAGAGTGCTGGGTGAGCCAAACAAACTATAAGAACCAGACAGAAGAGCAGAAAATAGGTGAAAACTCCAGTCAGATATATACAAACTTGTGTTCAAAAGGTGAACGTACAGAGGACTGACTCGTGAGCCGTGCTGCTAGCTAGCTATTTCAAATTACTAACATGCGACAGTTTTGTACAAAAGTACAAAACTTACGTATATTCTGTGGTGATAACACACAGGAAACCCAATTTTCACAGTCACTAACGTACTTACCATCTATAGCTTTTCTTTTAAGTGAATGTTACACCCGAATTTGGCACTAAACACTGTAGATACCAAACAAAAATACCGCCAACAACAACGTCATGACGTAATGCGGGCGTCGCACGCTGTGGATGTTCAAGTGTTTTGTGACTGCGCTGCTTATGCGCAAATACGAAAATGTTGTATGTTAATTTAATTTTACACATTTGTCCACATAGGGGAGAGAACTTAAATGAATATTTGCCATTAATGTTCAACGAGGCGAGAATTATATAAGAGTCATAAACAATTATATAAATATCACAAGACTGCGTCAACAGAATTTTAAAAGAACACAAAATTCCTTTTACAAAAATACAAAATCTGCGGATTTGAGGTAAGTGCGTTTCCCAATCGTAACTGCAAAATATCAAGAAAGCATGCACGAGAGCAAAAGCCACCAGAATTTTGGCCACCAGAGGGCAGCAGAAGATCACAGGAGCCCGTTGCATAAAAAATAAGACTGGACTAGTTTGACCAACTAGCATTTAGCCAAGAGGTAACCAGTCAGTTCATTTCAAATTACAGCAGTCAACCTTTTTGGAACTCGTTTTAAAACGTTATGACCAGTTTAGTAGAAAAAAAATTACATGACTGCCTTTTTAAGTCTAGTTTATACAGTTTGTGCAACTGGCCCCAGCAGAACTTGGGCCGAGAGAGCGAGCGATCAGAGAGGATTTTCTGTAAAACATTCTACCAAAAAGAAATAAAATATATATTGCATTAATAAATTGAAATCCGATCGTTTTCCTGTGTTTATTATCTTGTCTAGCCTATTCTGAATATTCTGATTCATTTTACATTAATATAACATGAAAGAATAAGACACTGAGTAGGTCTTAATTCAATTGTGCAAAAACTTTCAGATAGGTTATATGGGCGTTTATAGCCATTTTTGGACTTTAAAGAAGCCCTATTGGTCTTAAATAAGAAAATACACTCTCACTAGTGCAGTACTTATTTTTTAATGAAGAGTATATATATATATATATATATATTCTTCATTAAAAAATAAGTATATATACGGTAGACTGAGTACAGTAGAGACACTTTCTGCTTTTTTCATCACTACACAAAAACTAGATGCCGAAATGAAGTGATTTTTCACATGATATTTCTTTTGCTTATGTGCTAAAATATCATAAAGTAATAATAGCCATAAGTAGTTTATATTTTCCACAATTAGCTCATAAACATAAGGTGCATTTTAAAAACAATAAAATTAATATATTCGCACTATTGGCAAACAGTACAAATGTAAACATAACAGTAAAAATAATAATGTAAATAGTCATCGAAAACAACAAAAACAGAAACAAAAATAAAGTCCACTCACTGACTACATTACCTAACACACACACACACACACACATACTTGCATTATGGTTTTTATACTGTACAAACTGTATTTTCTATCGCCCTACACCTAAACCTTACAGAAAACTACTGGCAATTTTTGAATTTCATAAAACACCGTTTTGTGTGTGTTTTAAGGCTGTTGTTTTACGGGGACACAGGACCTAAAGCTGGCTAACCATTTATTGCAAATGTAATAAATTACAGTTGTGCATTTTTTTTTAAACAATTCAGATTTATTTATTCGCTCTATTGGCAAACAGTACAAATGTAAACATAACAGTAAAAATAATAATGTAAATAGTCATCGAAAACAACAAAAACAGAAACAAAAATAAAGTCCACTCACTGACTACATTACCTAACACACACACACACACACACATACTTGCATTATGGTTTTTATACTGTACAAACTGTATTTTCTA